AGTATATCTTTGATAATCCTTTGATAGTGATCGATCCGGTGATGAAAGAACCAGCTATGTGAACCAAAATAGTGCACGCTGCCTGACTTCATCATCAGCAGAATTTTATCCGATGACGTAAACTTAAAAGGCAGCATCCAACTGGAAACACATAACTAAAACACAACTTACCGTTCTATCATATCTGTTCGTGACGATTCTACCAAACGTGGACAGACAGCGAATAAGTGCCGAAAATGTTTCATCAATCAGGACAGATCCTGAAAATACAAACGCATTAGAACAAGCTAGTATTAGTGTAAGTGTAGAATCGTCAACTTGCAACTCGATCGAGTCGATTCCGAGCCGGCAATCAGAAAGTGGCGGATTCGAATCTCGGCCAGCATCGAACCGTAGATAGCATTCGGCCTTCAAGACATAAGAGGCTGACCTGCGAAGTGCATTTACGGATGTTGAGGTGTTGGCCTCATTTGATCATGCGATACACTCTATTCCTCTTTCGTGATACTTATCGTGTGCCACTGACCTCGGTTCAGATTTTACCGGTCATGTTTATCCCTTACGACGAAGTGAACGGAAACTGGTAGAACTCAGACCACTGGTGCCTTGATCTTGATATGAAATTGGTGTTAAGGGCACCAGAACATCTGTATATTGGGAGTATATTTGCTGCAGACGGACAAACGACAAACGGGTCGTTAAGAGGCGCTGTGTTAGCATTTGCAGGAAGCTACACGCTTCTTTCAAGCTATGGAAGAATAAAGATATTGGCAATCGCACCAAGCTGCGGATATATCTGGCTTGCATTTTCAACACTCCTCTCTCTGGCTTGGAGACGGTAGCAACGGTAGCACTTAACAAAGCGGAAAACTGGAAACAACTGATATTAAGAATTTAAGATTAGTACTGAGAGAGAAGTCACATGATTTGGTGTCAGATGCTGTTTTAAGAGAGAGATCAGAATATCTGACTACACTGACCGACTGGTAGCAAACAAAGTATTTAAGACAGTGAGGCTATTGCCTACGATTGGACGATACTCGCCTTGTGAAGGGAATACTGATGACCGACGACAGTCAAGAAGACCTCAAACAAAATGTGAAGATCTCATAAAAACTGACAAGGCGTCGAAAGGATTGAGAATGGAACACGCATTTATTCGATGCAGGTGGTCTGCATGCACGTCACCTGATGTCGTCTTGAATGCAATGGAATACGAAGTTTTATCTTCTGAATGCTACATTTACAGCTGAAGGCCAGATATCGATCCGCAGTAAACGCAGTAAACTTGTTACAACTTCTAGTAACTTTGGAAGCTTTAGGCATTTACGTTGTTTATATGGGGAGGATGCAGTAAGTTACCATAAATTATGAAAATGAATTCGATGATTCGCAGAATCCCGAGAGTTAGCGCTTTACGATCAGTCGTGCCCCTCAGTCTCAATCCGAGAACGTCGGTGTTATTGAGATTCGTCGGTGTTCATAATTACTATTTCTACTATACATAGTGGCGTAATCCCTCATTATTTTACCGTCACAAGAGCCAGACAATCTTCAAGTTGGATAGATATCAAATCAGCAAGTTAGGGAGGAAAGATGCTACGTCAGCTACAAAAAAGTATATGGAAAAGGTCAATATGTGAGCGTACACTGGGCCTTGGACGTTCATTGCGTCTTCCACGACGCACCATGTGAACCATCAGTATGAAAAAATAATTCGCATATTGCAGGTTTACAATGCCTACCAATGCAGAAAAAAAGTAGTCACGTGCTTTTGCGGTGGAAATTTTTGTAAGGTAATTTGTCGCAGAGATCAAAACCCAAATAAGCCGATTTACTACACACAGAAGGATTATTAGGAGACGTCGATATGTCTATTATTATACCTAATGTATTTTGTTTCACTACTACTTATTATTGTACGTTGAAAAGGGAACCATTATACATTCTGAAAGAGGCGCAACATTAAATAATCATTTCTCCTAGGCTTAATACCACTTTTGTTATCCATTAAGATCTGTTACCCATTAACTAATTCATGTTGTTGCTCTTTGATTATTTTACATGTTTAGAGCTAAGCATTCTATCGCGTCAAAAGCCACTATTGTATTGAAAAAGTAGGCACGTTTTGAAAATGAACTTCTGAGGAGGTTTTGTATAGTTTTCTCTTCATTAAAGGAACTTACTATGCATGATGTTAAAAACAGTTTCAATGTTTTTATTGAATATCATATTCATGTATCGATGCAGAAAAAACATATCTCTACTGAAGGGATGATAAAACAGAAAACGAAAGCCAGAGTAGAATAACGAATGCACAGCTACAAGCTCACATACGTTTCATTTCAACTAGTTAATTAAGAAGGAAAAATGTGGCAAAGAATATTAAGAGTACACTGTTTTGGTTCAACGCTGCTACTCGCACTCGATCAGTAATAATGTAATCTGATGTCTGTTTTAAATGGAACCGCTTTAACCTGAAACTTTGAGATTAATTCTAGAAATGCAGCTCGGAGCATTCCGTGGATTATTCTACCAACGATGTTGCGTATATTAAAATGGCACTGAATACCTGAACACATCTTTCCACTTCAATAGATATGCGTGCTGAAACCACGTCTGCCGTCAAAAGTGATGGAGAACTGTCAGTCCGATTCCCTTCTAAGTGTAGAGTTTCACAGGGAGATGTAAGATGTACTTTCGGCTTTGCTGTTAAGTACTGTTTCATACCTTCTACTCTGAAACAGTGTCTACGTCGGTAAAGACATGGCTCATATTTTTGAAGAGAGGCATAGTACAAGATATCTTGTTGACTTGGAGAATGCGGAAGACATTGTCCCAGTGAACAGTTTCTGTCACCGCAGAAGGCTTCCCTTGGTAAAACAGTTGAGAACTCCAACCGAACCTTAAAACTAAGAAGTTAAACACTATGAAAATCCCGTCCGGCACAACACACAGTAGTGCAACAATAGAGGAAGGTCACCAACTTAAATATCTCAGTTCCTTCATCTCCATCCTCATCATCATCCAATTAGAGTGGAATAAAAGGACCGTCCTGACTTCCAGTGCATGCGGTAACCTGTTCCGTATTTGATCAAAGAAAGGAATATATCTTCACAAAAACCTGACTGGCTTTGGGGCAGTTAGTCCGATGCTGCTGCACGGTACGGTGACCTTGGTTCCAACGAACAATTGAGAATGATGGTTGAATAGTACACAACACAGCTGGCCTCGATGCATAATGAGGGTTAAATGGCTGAGCCACGTAAGGAGTGGTTTTTTTCTTCCTTGGCACAGGTATGCTCAACACATAGTAAATATGAGAATAAGCAACCAAAATCCATGCATACCCTCGTCACGGAGACCTCAAAATGCAAAGGTTGGGTGAAGATGGGAAGGAAGGGTGGTATTAACAACTCAACCACCACCTAAAGTTCGCTTATTACACAGTGTTTTTTGCGGAAAACGAGTCAAGTATAAGAAATGCTGCAAGAGCTCTATAGAAAAGAGCAGAAGTCGGACTGCAAACAGTCGGTTAAACACGAAGATATTCCCTGCCGATGATTCGGGAAATAACAGATAGCGGGATGATCACAGAAGTGGATAGATACCTTTACCTGAGCCAAGAGACCCACATGAGGGATGATCAAGCGGGTGAGATTCTTCAGAGAAAGAGGGCCGGTTGGTACGGTTCCATTCCACTGAAGACGTCTTCTTCAGCAATATAAGAAATGAAACCCGCGCCTACCGCTTCAATTATACCGTCTCATCGGCAATTTTATATAGCTGTGAGACTTGGTCACTTACGAAAGTCGAAGATCGCTAGCTATCTATCGCCAAGAGAGCTATTGTAAGAAGAATGTTTGAAATTTCACGTTGCTACCATATCCTAAGCACGGTGATCAGACAGTTGACGGAAGTGAACGACGATGTCGTCGAAAGTAGTCGAAAGGAGAAGCCACCGTCGGTCTGACACACAACTCGAATCTCAGACTGGAGATGGTCGTTGACTATCATCGACCGGTATCTTGGCGGGAGGACTAGGTCGCTTGGCTGCTCATCATGATGATAGGAAGATTACACCAAGAGCCAGGATGGCCGCGCTTGAAGGAAAAAGACTCGAAACCGCGAAGACAGGCGTGTGTTGCGATTGGTCCGATTCGTCGCCGATTACCGATCAGGTCAAGTATTTGAAGTTATGCATAAAATATGGCGTACAAGAAATGTATTTAGAGTAAACCCGACAGACTTTCGCAATGAAGAACTCTGCACCAACACAAAAAATTGAATTCATACCTGTAGCACAGATTCCTTTATAGTGAGATCACTGCATCCCGCTTAATACACAACGCCTGTCGTGTTTAATTTTCTTCAGTGAGATTTAGAAAAATGAATCATCTTAATCTAACGATTGCAAATCATTTTAATATACTTTAATAACCTTTAGCTTTAGCTAGCTTTTCGAGTATTGGGCAAAACTGATTTTTGAACAAAAATCACAGAGTCAAAACTCAAAATCTTTCAGAATGCCATTCCATGTCACTAGTTCATCCACATGGGCCTGTTTCAATCTAATCTACAATAGCTAAGGGTAACTAGAGATAGCGGCATTCCATAAACTTTAGGGCATTACCATTTCAAAGCAGGGAAGAAGGCAGCTCATATGACAAGCTTAACATTGCAATACTGCGCTTTGCGATCGGTATGGTTAGCACCGAAGGAAAAGAAAGCAAATAAGAGATTCTGAGACATATCACGTGTATCAAAGAAGCATCAATTATTCTTGATGATAGGTCATGAAATATATCGATGAGAAAATTAAACAGAGACAGGCTACTGAACCAACAGAAGCGTTATTAATTATGGAAAAACCACCTGTAGGAGAGAAGTCCAGAATGCAATCGAAGCCAAGATCCGCGGTAGTGTGCATAGCATCTTGGATTAGTTTCTTGTAGTCATGAACGGCATTGAGCAGAATGTTACCTGGGTCGAGGAAAATGTTAACGAAACGAAGAAGAACAGCTGTTCACTTCACCGGCATTCACATTGTTCGATTTCAGCCGCATCGCTTGCAGGTCATCGTCAGCAACTACAGTACACTGAAGAAAAGAAGATCAAGAATTGAGAAATGCTAGCCTGACAGCGCTGCTCGAAATCAAAACCCACGTTAAGACCAAACGATTGGCATAAGTTGTACAACAAGTAGGAAGTGGCTACGTCCTCCGGTGAGTAAACTAGCACAGTATCCTCGCTCGTTACTCGTGCCATCTCGTACAATGCAACGTACATCGGATAGCATTTTCCGACCAGCTCCACCGCGTGCGAAATATCGCATTCGTCGTCGAGATCCACTGCAAACAGCGCATTTTTCAAACGTTACTCAAGAAGATGTGATTCATTACCCAAATACAGAGGATTTATTTCCACCTGCATTCCACTGGACCAATCGCTTCGATCTTCAAGCAAAATATATCCTATAAATTCAATAAATTCAGTCATCGGTGCGAGTCAGGGCGACAAAATTTCATTACTTTCATTATGATAACGAGTAGTATAAGAATTGTTTTATTTTGAGTAGTCTGTTCTGTAAAATAAATACATCCTCTGCACCCAAGGGACTTGGAAATGCTGCAGAAATCCACTCCGGTAGGTAGGTTGAGACAGCAGTGCAGCCCACCACTCGTCAATCATACCTGTCCATGACAGAAAGCTAAGACACTGCTTCGCTTCTCTGCATACGTTGGACTGGATGCAAGTTATGGAGACATTGGCTATTGTTGACGAAGACGAACGCCACTCCAAACTTACTGCCGAACAACCGTTCACATAAAAACGATCCAGAAAGGAAGAGATTGAAGAAACGTCAAGTTGTATATATGATGTGCTGACAGACGATCACAAGTCAGAAAAACAAAATCGTTGTATCATGACCATAACCTTAAAACCACGTTTTACCGTATACTTCACAGTCTTCAGCTTATGCTAATACTCATGATGGCGGTTATCCAAAGAATGTCTTTTTACTGAATCTGAAAGGTAAAACAACCAGATCGAAACACGAGATCAGCTGTTATCAACAAATATCGTGAAGAAGATCTGTGAGGCTCCGATCCAAGTGATGCTCAAACCACATGGACTTGAAAAGTCTATTTTACTGCATTGTATGAAGTGAATCACGCTTTAATGAGTGCAAATCGTCATCTCTGCTTCGCATCGTATGTGCCAACAATGAATTAATTATGTCTGCAGAACGACATTCAGAGACATCCAATTTTGGGCGTTTACACCGACAAGACATACATCTAAATGATCATCGACCATTTTCCTGAAGAAATGTCTCTGCAACAAATCTCTTCTGTGCAGTGCTGTCCACAACACGGTTAATGAAATCTGATGTTTTAACATTACCCACATCGATGCTGTGACAGCGTAGATGTCGTTTCGATATATCATCATTTTCTGCACCTCTCAGTAACATGCTCCTCGCTTTCCATCGATCAGATGGCAGTGATAATTACGCTGTACAGGCAGACTTCGAAATGACAGGCATAGGAAGTGATCTTGGGCTCATATCATCAAGGTGTGTGATGCTACCCGTACAAATGGGTATAAACAGTATAACGCAGAACTAATTGACTTATCTCAGGATAAATTATCAGGTGAAGAATTTGCTGAATTACACTATTTCGCAAAAAATAGCTGAAGCTGAGGCTTTGGACACGGAAAAGAAATCTAAACTGTTCGTGACGCAAAAATGACGGTCGCGTTCTGTGAGACTTCAACAGGAATGAAACGATTGGAGAAAATGCATCTTAAGCCTCACGGTTCTTGAAAACTCAAACAGAAACAGATATTTTGCGCACTATCAAGTGATTTATGGAGAAAAGAATGAGGTCCCTGGCGAGTCATCGCTTGGCAATTTAATAAGGAAAGTCGAACGGCCAAATGAAGCACTTTACTTTTTCTATTTTCTTATACTCTGAAATAGTGCATGAGTAGTTCATGAGGGACACGACACTGCGTTCTGGCAAGTTACAAATGATACTGTACAACATAAAATTTTAATCGATACCGTATAAAGTTTCTGATGTTTCTGAGCAACATCGGTCCGTTAACAGAGAAACAAAGAGATTTTACATGGCGTTATTCTCATGCAACTCGGTTTGACCCATATGAGTAACAGTTCGTTTAGTCCTAAGCATCGTTTCATGTTTTCCGACTATATGTGACTGACGTCTGTGCCAAGGTGGCAACAGACATAGCGGATACTACGCTAGAAATAGGGTATGATTAACGGATGGAGTGGGTTAAATCCAACGTATGGACTTTCTTAGGTTTTCAAAACGTATCTATCACCACAAGTTCAGGTCTGTTTGTAATGTTATGTAATAATATCAAAAATTCTAAGTCAGTTAATGATCAAAGAAATAATAACTGGACAGCGATTGTAACAGAATCGAACTGTGGAGGGAATGCTTGGAAAGGAAATATTACGCCAACCTTACCATTGAGTCCTAACTGCGTGCCGTGTGGAAGGGTGCAAAAGGATTAAAATTCAACGAAAGCCTGGATGCCGCAGGACCAGTCTCTCTCTTACCAGTAACACATACGACACAACCCAGCGCCAAATTTTCAAAACGACTGTCCCTATCTTTAAACTAACGCTCCTCCTTCAGGCTACGCAACAAAATCAAGCGACAGTGATGCAAAACCACTTCCCGCCAAACCCATTTGTGTAGAGAAATTATCTACTATGATGTTTCTCAATTTTTATGCAAAAAGTGAAATGTCTTCGCAGAGTCAAGCAGAGATGAAACTGCTTCGTGTCGCGGTTGAACAAGTGCGACCTCAGAATCCCTAAAGATCAATATAGCCCGTAACCGAAGAAGGCAGGAACAGACCTAAGTTAAAGTGTGCCGTCATTAAACTGAGAACGACTAAAGGTGATTTGCCTAAGTTCGTCAAGAGAGTCAGATTCCGAAAACAGTCGTTCTTATTTACCCATAACTCGCTGATTGTCCTTGAAATAACGAACACCGCAGTCTTGTCCAGCAATAACGGTACCAGCCACCAGGTACATGCATTTTGAGGCCAGACCGAACTCTTTCAGGAGTGCCTGAAGAGTAAATATAGTCACAACAAAACAAAAATCGAAAACTTGAGTACAGATAAAGTGAGCTTTTACTGTTTTGAAAATGATTTGGCCATGCTCTAATTAGTATCCGGTAAATTAAGGATGGCTTTTGCTATACTAACATTTATTTTTTCAACTAAATCGCTAAATATTCTGCTTTTAAGAAAAATGAAGAAGAAACTGTGCACCAACTGAATGACAAACAAATAACAGCAAAGCTAAAGCAAATAAATAAACCTACTGACAAAGCGATACACAAAACTGCCATTATATACCACTTTATTTGCATGAAAAAACCTTGACAGAATTAAATCATCAATCATTTTCAGTGTGCCTTACTTTCAAGTTGAAGGGGCAAAGAATGCAGTTGCTTCAAGTAGCTTTAGTAGTAGTTCCGTCCATCTCAAATTGGGTGAGACCCATGGACTATATTCTGAAGCGGGACGATCACAAACTCTCTGTATAATCGAGCTGGCTAGTTTGCGATCTGCCCGTATACTGACTATCATGTAGTTTAGCTAAGAAAGAGTCCACCCTGTGAGTCTCTACTGTGGCAGGATGATCACATGTCAAGACAATCGCAATTGATATCTTAAGATCTAGAAAAAAATAGCGCACAAACGAGAACATCTGACATTTCTGATCAAAAGCTCTTCGAGTCCTTTCATACCGACAATTATTGAAAGAAACCTCTTTGCTGACCAATACATTCGTATCATATCATTTTGTAAATGACTAAATGACTCATGACTAAAGTTGGTACGTCTTCCGGTCGATTTATCACTGCTAATAACGACGCAACCAGGAGACAAATCAGCTTCAAACCTCGTTTTCTCTACCTGCTCTCAGTTTCGCCATCCTTCGGTCGCTGTCCATCAGCCATGACCATAAACGATGGTGGGCGTTCTTCGCTTTGCTGTCTGCTTAGCCATTCATCACCGCAAAGCCGTTCATCTTCCGCATTCTACGATCGCATGGTCATTTCGCGAGTCCGTGTCCACATCTCGTCCGCAAGATAAGGCACCGCTCCGTAAGGTCCAAAGCAGGAGCCGCTTGGGTCTATGTGACCGTGTCAAAACCCAATCAAAAAACCTTTGAGCAGACTAAGTCTCACACAGCCGTCACCTCAAACCCCAGTCGGCCGGCGTGAAGGGTAAACGGAACTTCTGTCCAACACGCCTGACATGCTTGACAATAGCCAAAACCATTTGCCAACATCAGATGAAATGGAAAACATATAATAACTCCGCCGCTGACGGTCCCAAGCCCGGTTGAGAAGGAGGAGGGTTGGAGACCATGGCAAGTCTCCGTAAAATTCAGCCACCTGCCCCTCATGGTATTGACGCCTTCGGAAATTATACCGGCTCGGTCGTCGCCCGGGTTACCAAGGGCCGCGCAGG